GCAGGCATATGCCACCGTTAAGTCGATGCCAGACTCCCTTCTCCAAGGAGGTCACTGCGCCTTTAAGGATCGCTCAACGCGTCACTCCTGACGTCAAAATCACCCAGGCTCTAAGACAGGTCCGAGTTCAGGCAGTAGATTGGCTGATGGCCTCATGAATATGTAGATCACTCCCTCCACCACAGGGCGTTAGGCTCTGGGAAGGGCAGCGAGGGCAGAGGAGGTGGAGATGGGGGCGGGGCGAAGGCCTGGGGCGCGGCCAGCACATTCTATGCATTTTGTTTCTTGCTTGTGTCTCTAGTACCTACTACAGGGCATGGCACACAGCGGGCCCTCAATAAATGCCTGCTGCCCTGGAGTCCAATGCAAGGGATGTCCGAAAGGTCACGTCTGACTTTGGAGGCCTGTTTTGCCTTCTCATAACGTTGCATTATAATGACAACGGCTGTTATTCACGTGTATTAATTAAGCTCCTTGATGGGCTCAGCAATCCTGGAAGTGCATACTATCGTGAGCCCCATTTTACAGATGGGGAACCTGAGGCTTGGAGAGAGAACTAAAGGCTTGGAGAGATTGCTAAAGGGCACGCAAAACCTTCAACCGCTCAGCGAATATTGAGAACTCAGAGGTGAGCAAGCCAGTCTCTGTTTTCGTGGGCCTCACGTTCTGTCGTCCTGGGTTTGACCCCCAGGCGCCCTGCCTGCGTCCTCTGAGCAGCCTTAAGTCCGACCAGGCTGGAGGGGTTCCCTGTCCTCTCACTAGGACCCAAGTAATTTCTGCCCCTCTGTCTTGGCCCGCGGTTCCCTGTGCCTGGAAGATCACGTGCGCCTGCCTCCACAACAACCCAGCACGCCTGAATCCCAGGACAGAACGGAGTGTGTTCCCGGCCGGGGAAACCACATGGGCAGGGTACCCTTTGTGTCCAAGACCCGGGAGTCCCCTCACCGCCTCTCCCAGCCCTGAGCGCAGGGCGTGGTACGCTTTGGGTGCTCAATGAAAACTAGTGACATTTTAACTGAAGGCGCAAGTACTGACCCAAGGCATGGGACTCTGCTGCCCCCTGCTGGTGGCCTGCGGCAAAGCCTCTGGGAAATAAATTTTCAAAGGGATTGGTCTGTTTTGACACTTCTGTAGTGCTTACTCTGGACTTTATATGACCTCATCCATTCCCACAACAGCCCCAGAAAGGTGTGCCAGGTTAGCTTCACTTTGCAGAGGGGGGAAACTGAGTCACAGACAGATGGGCCAACGGTCTGATCAATGTCCTCACACAGATACAAACCCTGGCCTCCAGACTTAATCATTATGCTTTTAGGCCATTTAGTAAGTGGCTACTGTGTGCAGGGCTTTAGGTTATAGAAAGAGCAGGTACTGATGACATGCTATTTTAGTCACTGTAGCTTTATAAGGTGGCTTATGGTTTTACGGGTGGCATGCCTGCAGCCAGCCACCCAACCTATTTCCCCACCTGTGAACTGGATCCTACCTCCTACGGAAGCTGTGGTGGTCAATTAATTAATACTTGTAAAGCCCTGGGAACCGTGCCCAGCACATAGTACACACTCAGTAAACAGCCATTCATTTTAGCACATTCCAGTCTTCCTTCCTTTACAATTCAACTACCCACGTGCATTTGAGAATCAGTTTTCCAGGTCCGTAGACACTAAACGCCGGCATCTGAACTGTGCCAAAGTTCAAGGTTCATTTGGGAAAGAACTGACCCTTTAAGACAGTGAGTTGCTCTGGGGTCCCCCGTGTGCCATCCCTGCTCTGACCACATACAGGATTTAGTGACTCACTTCCAACAAATGGAATAAGGCAGAAGGCACGGTGTGACCTGGAGACAGGGCATAAAAGGCAATATCCTCACCCCCACCCCCCGCCCATCTTCGGTCTCACTCATTCTGGGGGAAGTCAGTCGGCAGCCCCACAGAGAGGCCCTGGTGGTGAGAAACTGAGGCGTCCCCCCAGTAGCTATGTGCGGGCACCATCCTGAGGGCCGCTCCTTTGGCTTGGGGGGTTGGGGGGCACTTTCAGGTGAGGCCGATGCTCTCCCTGCAACCTCACGAGATCAGAGCCTGAACCACCCAGCTAAGCCACCCCTGGATTCCTGAACCAGGAACACTGTGTGAGGTGATAAAAGTGTTGTTTTAATCTACTAGGCTGGGGGTGAAGGATTTGTTATGCAGCAATAGCTAACTGACACACCCTGGGTGGTCACCCCAGGTGAATGCCTACATCACAGCTGGGCCTCGGCTGACCCCCACTCACCCCTGATCGCTCTATGAAGACGCTCAGAGGTGGAACCACCACGTTGTGTGCGTGAGCATTCCAGGTGTGTTAACGCCTGGGAGTTAAATTTAAAAGCTTAAATTGGGCTATTACAAATTTTAATTATGAACTAATACATTTGAATTTCAGCCACCACACAGCACAGGCGGGTGGGACAGCACAGTGGTTAGGAGACCGGCCAGAGAGTCTGGGTTCAGTTCCTGCTGTGCAGCCTCAGGCAGGCCACCTAACCTCTCGGGACCTCAGTTTGGTAACTCATAAAGTAGAGTATCAATAGGACATACCTCACGGGGCAGTGGCAGGTTAAGTAGGTTAAACCACATAAAACACTTAGACCAGTGCTGTTGGAGGGAACTTCCTGCATTGATGGATATGTGGCTATCGAGCCCTGAAATGTGGCTTCATTTGACTGAGGGAGTGAATTTGTAATTGATAAATTGATTAAAATTTAAATACCCACATGTGGCCGCACTGGATGCCACGAGCTTGAAACAATGCCTGGCAAATAGTAAGTGCCGAATAAACGCTTGGTAGAACTGCTGTGCCATCACATCACCCTCCAGACTGCAAACTGACACCCTCTCTGCAGAGTGGAGGCCACCCCAAGTATCTTACTAACACCCCAACCTGATCAGGCCCCTCCACTGCTCAAAGTCCTTCTATGGCCCATCCCTGCCCTCAAACGATGCCCCAGATTTGCTAATCTCATCGTGGTCACAACTTGTAGCATGTTTTGGAATTCCTTTTTCTTGCCAGAATGGGCACTGCGGTTTTTGTCCCCCTTCTTCCTTGACTGGGGACGTGGAAAGGTGGGGACAAGGTCTGGTGCTAAGTAGGTGCTTAATTATGAAGGACTTCTGTAACCCAGCCTCTGTCAGCTCTGCATCCATTTCCTGTCTGATCATGGCATCGTATCAAGCCTCTGAGACTTTGCACAGGCTGTTCCTTACACTCGAAATACCCTTCCAGGCAGACAGACCATCTTTCCTGTTCCCTCTCCAGCGGGGCCTCCTTCTCTCTGCAGGCACCGGAGCAAGGCACTCTGTGTCTCAGCCTCATTTTCTTCAACTGTAAAATGGGACAAGGTTTTGGTAAGATTAAAAGATGTGGTTTTTGGGTGGGTGGGGAGGGTGAAGGGGAGAAAGGGGCACAAAAAATTTCAATCAGAATATAAATTAGTCACAGGGGTAGTAGTACAGCATGGAGAATATAGCCACTGATTGTGTAACATCTTCCAATGTTGGCAGATAGAAACTGCACTAGAAGGGGTGAGGGTTTAATAATGTGGGTAACTGTTGAACCATGGTGCTGTATACTTGAAACCAATGTAAGATTGTATACTAATGATACTTCAGTTTTAAAATAAAGTATGTGCTTTCTGCAAAGTGCCTGGCAGGGTAAGTACCTTACTGATTAACATGAGTGGTTAGTATCACTGCCATTAATTTCGAGGCTCAGTTTGGGTGTGACCACCTCCATCTATTCACACTCCCACACAGGCCCTCCCCCAGAGCCATGCCCCCCACCCCAGGTCTCAGGATTTTATTGGTGGGGGAGGAACTTTTTGGTGGGGGTGGGCTTGGGACAAGAGACTGCATGCAGTTTTGTTTCAGTTTTTCTAGGCAAAGCCACATAATCTGTTGGGTCTCACCTCCTTCAAGCCTCATCTCCTCAGGGACACTTCTGAGTTCTTGACTGCATCAGGTCCAATTGGGGGATTTCTGCCTCCCATTCCAATTCGAAATCTATTGTATAACAAGTGTTGGCAACGATATGGAGAAACTGGAACCCTTATGCATTGCTGGTGGGAAGGTAAGAAGGGGCAAGCCATAGTGAAAAATGGTCCAACGGTTCCTCAAAGAGCTAAACAGTTACACAGGGCCCAGCAATTTCACTCCTAGGTACCTACCCATGAAACGGGTATTCAAGCAAAACCTTGTACCTGAATATTTAGAGCAGCTTCATTCATAATGGCCAAAATGTGGAAGCAACCCTAGTGACCATCGATGGATGAACAGATACAATGTGGTCCACCCAGACACTGGAATATTACTCAACCGTGAAAAAGGAGAGAGGCCCTGACGTGCACATGGGCGGACCCTGAACACACAGTGGCCAGTGAGAGACACGACACACACAGCCACACGGTGCATGACCCCATTTCTGTGACATGTCCACAGCAGGTGAATCCAGACAAAATGTGGGCTTGTGGGTATCGGGCTGGGGAGGGGGTGGGTGGCGACTGCTAATGGAGATGGGGTGATGAGAATGTTCTGGAATTAGAATTACACACTTTTAAATGGTACAAATGGTGATTTTACCTCATTTTTAAAAAAATGCATGATATACAGGGTCTTCTCTTCCCTTGGGCTGCCTCCGTGAGGGCAGAGACCAGAGCCACCCAGTCTGTGCTTAGTCCCTTGAGGCCAGCGTGAGGTCAGACTTGTAGTAGGTGTTCAGTAAATGATTGTTGAATGAATAAACAAGTGTGTGAGCTGACAGACTCGAGCACCTGCTCTTCCTGAGAAAGAACACCACCCCACTTTTTCAAGTTCCAGATGAATCTGATGGAATGTTGGCTAAGGGAATGTCAGACCTTCCTTCTCTGACTATCTCCTCCCACATCCCAACTCTAAACCTGATTCTTGTCTAGCTTAGGCGCATGGGGCCTTTCCTGGCAAAGGACTGCAAATAAGAGGACTCAGCCCTTTAGCAAGTAAAACTTTTATTAAATAAACTTTCAGTTTCTCCAGACCAGAGAGAGGCGTTTTGGACATTAAAATGATGCTTCCAGCTTCTCACCTGAAACACGCCACAGGGACAAGGACCTCCCCAGCCCCAGAATTCAAACCAAGTCAACCCAAAGGTCCCTCTCAGCCCTTGTCTTGTCTTTCTTGGTGGGGGAGGATGTGTGTATGTGAGTATGTGGCGGTTTGTTTCCAAAAGTCGATTTGCAAGTTGAAACTTTGTGAAATTACTCGTAGCAGAAATAAAGTACATCGTACAAATCACGTAGGTCTTCGACGTGGAGTATAAAAATGGTATTTACAGCCAGTAAACATGGACCAGAAGGGTACACACCACTGCACACCAGCACACACTCCCAAGCAGGCCCGGCGGGGGGGCTGGGCCGGCGCTGGGGACACAGACGAGGCCCCCTCGAGGCCCCTGAGCACACGTTTGCACACGCAGACACACGGGACACAGGCACGCTAGAGAGTGTCTCGGAACAATCATCAAACTCTGGAATATCGAAACAAGTCGGTCAGAAGATTTTTTTTTTTTGTTACGTGTTTTTTTTTTCTTCTTTTTTTGTTTGTTTTTTTTGTTTGTTTTTTTCTGGGTTGATCAACACATTTTGGTAGAAACGGAGGGAATGTTTTTTCTTTACAAATTTTTTTTTTTTTCTTGAGCTTAGTTAAGTCCTCTGGCGCCTCCTTTGGCGAGAGGCCCCGCCGGACGTCCGAACAAACTTGACTGTGCTTCAAGGTGCGTTTTTCACGGTTTGGGCAGCTGTACAGAGGCACCCACAAGCTCTCCCTCCCGCCCCAACTAGGAAACAAAAATGCTTTGCCGTGTGAGTCCTTTTCCCCGTTTTTGTCTTCTTTGTACCTGCTCAGAAAGACCAAAATTAAAAAAAAAAAACAACCAAAAACTCTTTTCTTGGTAGAGGTATCTCTGGTAAAGGGGAGTCTGACCAGTGCAGGCTGGGCTTGCCCATCGCGTGCGCCAACCTCGGTCATGAGATCGTGAATTCCAGGCTGGTGATCCGAAGGCAGGGAGGGTGGCCGCCTGCCCTTGGGAGGGGGCGTGAGGGCAGGGGGGCTGCCCCCAACCCTGCGCGTCCCCCCCACCCCCCCGACGGAAAGCTAAGGGCTATTGGTCACATGAGTAAGGCTATGACTTGGGGGGAGGCCAGGGGGGGTCTCTCTTGTGCCTACATCCGGGGAAGGCAGGGCCCTGGGACATGGGGGGGTGGAAGGAGGTTCCGGAAGCTGCAGCGAGGACCAGGGACACTCAAGCTGGCTGAGCCCGAAGGCCCTCGGGAGCGGTCAGTGGCAGGGGCCAAAGTCGTGGAGGTATATCGTGCCGGCTGGTGACGCCTAGTGCTCCTCTGGCACCCTGGTCCCACGTGGCGGCAGGAAGCGCGGAGACACCAGGCTGCCCGGCCACCCGCAGCCCCTCTCCGTCCCTGCTGAGTGACCGGCCCCAGGTCACCTTCTCTTGGATGGAAGGAAGTCGGAAAAGTTTGGTCCCGTGATCTATACTCAAAAAATATATATACTGTCTATAGCTCTATATATATACGTATATATATATATAGGAAAAGTTGCGATTGCATTTGGGAAAGCCACCAAGGAGGGGACGGTGAGCCCCTCGGGCCCCCAGCTGAGGCCCCCGACGCCGGGGCAGACCACAAAGCCCTCTGCCCGCTCTCTGTGGCCTTCGGTAGCGTTTCACATTTTGGGGAGGGGGCAAGGGGAGGTGGGAGAGGGAGGGCTGGTGTCCAAACTCGGTTGTAATTTACGGAAAAGTCCTGGATCAGTTGGAAGCGGGAAACCCTCGGGTGGGAAGGCCCCTCACCTGGTGGAGAAGGGAGGGGCGTTAGGAGCCGTGATGGGGGGGCGCGCAGGCCGACATCGCCTCCCACCCACCCCCTTGCCCTGGCCAGGCTGGGGTCCGGGCCCCCAAGGGCCCCCATCTTTTCAGAGTCCATTTTGGGGTTTGGAGGCTGACAAACCGAGCTTGGAAGGGACTCAGGGTCGCGGAAATTTCTGCTTATCTCTGTGCCCTGGGCCCCACTCCTGCCACTGAAGCTCCGTGGAGGCAGCCTCCCCCACCCCTGCCCCGCCTGTTCCCCCGCAGCTGGGTCCCCAAGCTCTGGACATGGTGCCCAGCACACAGTAGGTGCTCAGTGAGAGTCTGCTGTCCTGGAGCGTTCAAAGAGCACCGGGCGCCTGTTCGTTGCCCGATCCGGGACTGGATGTGCTCGAATCTGCGGGTACAGACCCGAGAGGGTTTGCAAAGCAGGCGCAGGCCCCAACTGAGCAGCTACTTGGTGCCGGACCCCAGGCAAGGTGCACTGATGACGGCGGCGATGGCGGTAAAGGCAAATAAAAAAATCCAAAGGAATGCCCGAAAGCTTCCCAGGTGGCGGGTCCTGGGCTCGGCTGGGAAAACACCGCGTCCCCGGGTGCGTTCTCCCCGGCCACCGGGAAGGCAACTTCCATTAGCCACTTCACAGGTGAGGCTGGTCAAGGCGTGAGGTCAATTACAAGGCTCCCTCGGCCCCCGAGGCTCACTTCGTTTCCCAAAGAAGGTGATTAGTTGGTAAGGTTGTTGGCTCTGACGGTGAAATACACTCTTGGGGACGTGTCTGTTTGGGGGTGTTTTTCTGAGGGGTATGCTGGTGGGTGGGGCAAACATTCCAGTTTCCCATCAGCCCGAGGTTACAAATTACACCGACTGAGGAGCTACGACAGGGGCCCCGCTGGGAGGTTCACAGGGCAGGACAGAAGCCCCGCCCCACAGCGCACCCCACCCCTTCCAAACCTGGCCTCTCGGGGAACTTCTATTCATCTTTCAAAGCCTTCTTCAGGAAGGATTCCCTTAACCACCCACCCTGCCCCCCCATCCCACCCTCTGCCCCAGCCCCGAGCACAGCAAGCCTCCTGCAACAGCGCCCCCCACCCCAGCCTGGGGAGGGCCTTTAGAATGGGGAGCGGGTGCAGACAGGAGCGGGGCGGGTGGGGTGAAGGGCGGGCGGGGCCGCCTGGCGGCTCACCTGGGCCCCGCCCGCGGCTCCGGGCGGTTGTGGCACGCTCAGTAGGGGTGTCCGGGGTCTTTGGGCCGCTTCAGCTGCACCTTGAGTCTCTTCATGCCGATCTGAAAGCCGTTCATGGCCTGGATGGCCGTCTGTGCGCTGGCCGGGTTGTCAAAGCTCACGAAGCCTGCGGAGACCGGGGTGGGGCCGCGATGGTGGGCAACGCAGGCGTCCTCTGCTCGCTCCGGCGCTGCTGCAGCCCAGGCCTCCGGGCTCGCGAAATCTTGGGGGCGGGGCGTGTGGGCCCCGGGCGTTGGGACCGCTGCCGGAGGACGCGCAGCAACCCTGGCCTGGTTCTGACACCCGCTGGGGGGTGGGCTGCTCACCCCTCACCTGCGCTGAGCCTTCGCATTGGTGTGGAGGGCAGGTGGGGCCTCTGGGGGTCCCGGTCTCCCTCCCTGCCCCCCTGGGTGCCTGGCTCCTTCCAGGCCCTGAACCGCGGCCTGGCCTCCTCTGCAGCACCTGTTCATCTTCATCCGGGGTCTTGTCTGTGCGTGTGTGTCTGTCCTTACCTCTCCGTCCCTCCATCCCTCCCTTCCCATCGCTCTCTCTGTCTCTCTCCTCCTCTTTGTCAGTCAGTTTCTCTATGGCCAGTCCCTTCCCCAGGCCCCAGGACAGCCTCCCCTCAATCTTCCCGCAGGCCAACTTCCCTGGCTGGCCACCTCAAGGCCAGGAAACCGACTCCTGCCTCCTGCCTGTCACCTCTCGGCCTGGAAGGCTGGTGGGGTCACAGGGTGTGTCTCCTCTGATAGGCTCAGAGGTCTTGCTGAAGTCTCTGAGGGGCCCTTGGGCATTTGGGAGCTGGGCGGGGTGAGTCCTCGTATCTATTATCCCATCTGACCGCCCCAACCATTACACAGATGACTAAACTGAGGCTCAGAGGCGGCTTATGACCCCCTCGTTGTTGAAAGTGACGGGGCTTCGCTCCACAATTCACCTCTTCCTCCTGGAAGCAGGACACTGAGGAGGGGGCCTGGGCACCAGCTGGGGTCTCTTACTTGCTGAGTGGACCTAAGCATGTCGCGTGAGTCTTCTCTCCGTAAATTGGGACAATTCTCCCCTTTTATGACTGGATATTGAGTATATACAGGAGGTGCTTAATAAACAGTCAAGAGTTGTCTCTTCAAATAGGTGAGGGTGGGATCAAGAGGCCAGATTTTGGAGTCAAACAGAACGATTCTAATCTAGCTTCTGCCTCTTTGCTGCTGTGTGGCTTCAGACAAGTTGTAGGGCTTCTCCGAGCCTTAATTTCCTCCGTCTCTGGGAACAAGGGAGTCTCTCCTGAGGTCCCCCAGGTCTTGCACAGCTTGCCCTTCCCCTCCCTGCCTTCCCCTGCTCCCTATCTCCCCCTCACCCACTCTGCTCCAGCCACACAGGCCCCCTCATTGTTCCCCCAACACACCAGGTCCGGTGCTGCCCCAGCACCTTTGCACGGCTGTGCCCTCTGCCTAGAACTCTGCCCCCCAGATCTCCCCATGGCCGGCTCCTCCTCATTCCAGCCCCAGCTCAAACACTGCCTCTTCCTATCAGTCTCTAAACTTCATTACTGGTTTTATTTTGCTTCATACCCTTTATGACTCGCTGGCTTGTATCCTGCATTTGTTTCTTTCTATCTTCTTCCCCTAAACCTGTGCTTTTCAATTCTGTAGTCACTGTCCATGGGCAGTTATTTAAACTCAAATTCATTAAGATTAACTAAAATTAAAAATTCAGGCCTTTGGTCACACTGGCAACATTTCAAGGGCTCAGTAGCTACATGGGGATGGCGGCTCGGACAGCAGGGACAGAGGACATTTCCATCGTCACAGAGAGTTCCGTGGGACGGTGCGGCAAGACTGAGAGCTTTCTGAGGGTAAGGATTTTTGTGGGCTTCCTTCACTCTGTGTACCAGCACCTGGCACAGTGCCTGGCACACAGCAGGTGCTTAATAATGCTCACTCTGATTATGAATAGGGTTCTTTTGGGCCAGACGTGCTTCGTGGCTGACCACACCCTCCCTCCCCCATCCAGGGCGGAGGCAGCAGGCACTTACCAAAACATTTGCTCTGGTTGGTGGCCCGATCCATAAACACCTTGGAGGAGATGATATTGCCGAAGGGCAGGAACATCTGGGTCAGCTCCGTGTCTCCAAACTCCTGGGGGAGGTGGTAGATAAACAGGTTACAGCCTTCGGGACCTGCAGGTAGGGGAGAGAAAGACATAAAGCCCCCAAGGAGAGGAGGCGGACCCCCCGGGGGAGGGCTGTGGTCCGGAGCCCACGTGTGGCATCTCCAGCTGTCAGGAGAGGCGTGCCTGGGACACCAGGAAAGAAGGGGTGTGGAAAGAGTGGGGAGGGGCGGCAGGGTGTGCTGGTCCCTTGTCTATATAATCCCACACTTGGGTCCTCCAACCTGGATAAGCCTCAGGCCCCAGAGAATTTACAAAATTCAGCTGACCCCTACCACCCAAAACTGAGAGAAATCCCTCCACGCCAGACCCCAGACAGTCCAACAATCCCAGACAACCCCCAAGCCCCTTGAAAATCCCTAAACCCCAAACTTGGGATCAAAAGTCAGGTGAGCTGTGCGGAGGTGTACAAGACGTTGTACCGTATTCGACATAACTCTGTAAGTTTAAAACTGGTTTTAAAATAACCCGTTCATTTGTTAGAAATCTGATGATCTCAGAATAAAATAAGACAAGCAGTTCCCCGGTCCCAAACCCTAACTATCCAGATATTTTTCAAAACCTTGGCTAATCCTCCAAACCTTGGATTCTTTTCACAACTCAGGTGATGCAAAAATAAAATCTAGTAAAACAAAAGGATAATTCTCCAGTCCCAAACCCCAGACATCCTGAAACCACAGAATTTTGAAATGGTGCACTGTGTCAACTAGAAATAATTTTTTAAAGCACAACTAGCCCTCAAAACCATCCTCTCCCCAATAACCCCCAATGCATGACTGGCATAAAACTATAAATCATAATGGTATTTAAAAACCATGATTTTATCCAAAGTCACGAATAGTCCTCAAAACTGCCTCTCATCCCAAAGCTACAGATGACCTTCTCCCCTGCCCCCCACAAACAAGAGCAACCCCCAAACCACTCGAAAATAGTATTCCCCACCTGGGAAAATTCAGGGTCCAAGACAGCGCATTCATACCCACCCCTCACCTTCCCGATTAGGATGACAGATCTGCTGCAGATCTGCTTTTACACTTTAAAAATCAAATGTGTTCCAATATGATTAATAAACACGTTACAGAACAATTTTGAGTGTAACATGGAGTGCATGTTTGCTTCTGTGCTACCTCGTTTCCGGGAAACACTCGGTGAAAACAGAAAACTGTAACACACACACACACACACACACACACACACACACACACCTCCAACGCCTACCCGCTTCCTGAGCCCCCCAAGTGTATTACAAGCTACATCCGTCCCTGTCTGGGGTTACAAATCTGTCTGATTTCAGACAAGCCTCTTTCCACCATCTCACGGTAACTCATGCAGGACAACCACGTATAAACTTTAGGTCTTTTCCCAGCTCAGGTGCCAATGTACTGTGGTGCTTGTGTATTTCTTAGCCTTCTGGCATGCACACCACCGTGCTCCCCTTTTTATTAGGGTCTTGTCTTTGTTTCTTTGACATGTCACAGTCAGAGTTTTTGAAATGGTAGGCTCCAGAGCCAGTCCCCCAAAGCCTTGTGGCTTTGTTACCAAGTTTTGCAAATTATGCTGATTTTAAGAAACCACATACGAGTTGTGCCAGCATAGCTACATTTGAACTAGCTTTTACCCACTCAGTCCAGGATAAGGCACGTAGGAGAAGGGGCCCAGAGGGAGACATCCAGGTCCCAGCCGTCCACAGGACAATGACCAGAGGCAGCTGAGATCCCCCTGGCCCCACCCTATGGGGGGCCGGGGGCAGGTGTGGAGGGGATCCTGCAAAAGGCCTGGTAATGGCTGCTGCTGTCTTTGACTCCAAACGCAGAGCGCAGAGCGCCCTGGAGACACGATATCTGGATATCTGATGGAGGAAGGGGCAGAGCCTGGGACCCCTCCTTCCCCCTGCCTAGGGCTCCCCTCCAAAGCTTGGCTCCTGCACCTGGCAAGGGGCCTCCTTCCACAGGCCAAGGCCAATGAGAAATTGGGCAGAACCTCAAAGAACTCAGCCTGCGGGCCGGGCCCACTGCGGGCTTGCCACGGGGTCGTTTGGGCCTCCTGGCTGGTCACCTCTCCCCACCTTCTGCCCCCACACCCAGCGGCTGATTTACAAAGAGGACGGGCTCTCCGGGTGCTTGAGCGCCTGTGTGTGTCAGGAGCCGCCGCTGCTCACGTCCCGGGTGGGCCCCCGTGCTGGAGATGAGGAAACTGAGGCACGGGGCGCCATGCGGCCACGCGTCCGAACTGGGGGGATTCAACTTTACCTTGTCCGACTCCGTAGTCTAACTCCCCCCTCCCTCGACTTTACTGGGGAGGCCTCAGTTTACACCAGATACCTCATCACCCCACCCCCAAACTCAAAACGAGTTTCCTCTCCAAAATTTCAGCAAATTGTCCAGGCCTGGAGAGAGGGGGCTGGCGGTGGTGGGGTCGCCGTTCTCCCTATGGGGCCGGGGCTTGCCCAGGGGGTCGCGGCCCCTCACCTTCTCGCTGCTGCTGCTGCTGCAGGAGGGGTGGCGGCTGGGGGACGCTGTGCGCAATGGGCGTGATGGCCGCGGCGGGGTACATGGCTGCGGAAACCGGGGCGAGACAGGCGCAGGCGTGAGGCCGGCAGGGGCGGCGGGGCGGGGCCATGGAGGGACGGGACCGTGCAGGGTATGGGCGGGGCGGGACTGTGGCTGAGAAAGGGCAGGACAGGGGTGTGGCCAGACGCTGGGGGCGGGAAGGAGGTGTGGCCAATAGTTGGATTGGGCCAGGGCCAGCAGTGGTAATGGCTATGCACAAGAGGGACCAATGAGAGGACGGCACCGTGGGGGCGTGGCCAGGCGCTCGAGGAAGTGGGGCGGGGCCCGGCTGCCTCCCTACCTGTGTACTGCTGGACTCCGGAGAAGGCAGGATGGAGGGTCTCAGCCACGGTCGGGCTTTGAGCTGCGGGGCAGACGGAGGGGCTGAGTGGGGCGGGGCAGCAGACGTCTTCCATCCACCCCCATCCTTAAGTGCCGGAAGGAGAGCAACAGGCACCCGCCCCAGCTTCACCCTCTGCGTAACTGGTTTACAGGTATGACCCCTATTTTACAGGTGGAGAAACTGAGACCCAGAGAGATGAAGCCATTGAGGATCAGAAAGGTGAAGCAACTGGCACAGGGCCACGCAGATAGGAAATGGCAGAAGCCAAACAGGACTGCCGCCAGATTTACCCATCAGTCCATCTCTCTCTGTCCCTGCCCTGCGCCCTCCTGTGCCTCCCCGCTGTTCTCTAAATTCCCCAGGATCTCAGACCTCTGCCGCAGATCACCGCGCATCACTGTCCCTTCCCCTCTCTCCTTCCCGACACTTCATGGCACCCTGTGGACCTCCCTTGTGGCTGGGACCTTCTGTGGGTGTGTGGTAGGTGGGGAGAGGTAGTCCAGATCCCCAGAGTGAGCGTCAAGGGAAAATCCAGACAAAAGATTCTGCTCAATTGGAGAGAGGTCGCTAGAGGACAGGGTAGAGGCGGGGGTGGGGGGTGTGACTCTAAAAAGGTCCCATGAACGAATCATTTTGTGGAGACACAGTAGTTCTGTATCCTGGTTATGGTTACATGTATGTTACCTGTGATAAAATGGCACACACGTGCACACACACACACACACTAGTGCCTGTATAATGTGGTGCAATCTGAATCAGATCTCCGTCTCCTGTTGGGTTCATTGTCCTGTACCAATGTCAGTTTCTTCCCAGGTCTGACACTGTACTAAGGTTATGTAAGATGTCAGCATCAGGGGAAAAGGGGCAAGGGGTCCTGGGACCTCTCTGTACCAATTTTTAAACTCCCTGTAAGCTTCAATCATTTCGAAATGAAAAGAAACAAATCTTCCTCAGTGGAGAAACACAGATGACTTACTTTACATAAGCAAGTTGTTGAAAGATGCTCACCCTGAAACCGTGGTGTAGGGTAGGGAGAGCTGGGCTCTCGGCTTCACGGAGGCAGGGCCCAGCCCACAGCTGTGTGTGGTCAGTACTGAATGAGTGGGTGAATGCGGGTACTGATAGCCTCCCAAATGCTAATGATTAAAGATTGATGGTGCCAGTTTTGGTACAAGTGATGTGTTAAGTGTTTTCATACTGATTTCATTGCCAGTATAACCTCAAGAGATGATCTGTCCCATTTCTCAGATGAGCAAACAACCTCAGAAACTTAAAGAAACCACCCAGGGTCACTCAACTGGAATTTAAGCCCAGCAATGTCCAGACATAAAGCGCTTATGTTTGATCACCCTGCTACAGCCTCTTTCTCTGTGCCCACAGTTGACATCTATTCAGCTGAGGCTCCCTTCATCCTGCCCCACTGTTCCCTGGGCACCATGGTAAAGGGACTCATGCTAGTCCCAGAGGCACCCTTCCTGCTCCCCGCCACTCTCCTAGGCCCCAGGGGACCACCCGAGTTACCTGGGTAGGGCACAAGGCCATTGGCATACACGGTCTCTAGGGCGGGGTGCCCGCCAGGGAATGGCACCACACCAGCAAAGCCATTGGTGATGGGAGCCACAAGGCCGGGCACAGCGGTGGTACCAAGCAGTGGGGGCGAGTGCAGCCCTGTGGAGTGGAAGAGTGTCATGGGGAGCCTGGACCTGCCCCCTCCCTGCCCACCCGTCCATGGGTCCCTGGTGGACTCTCACCAGAGGCGGGGGCGATGGGCGTGGCAGGCAGCCCATTAAGGCTGACGGCGCCAATCTGCTGGATGTGGCAGGGTGAGAAGGCCACGCCGGGGCTCAGGTAGCTGCCCGAGGTGGACAGGACCGTGGTCTGCTGCTGCATAAGCTGGGGGCGGAGAGGGGGTAAGTGTGTGCAGTTGGGATGGCGCCTGCCCTGAGATCATCACTCATGGGGGCAGACCTGGTCCTCCGGTAACTGCCTCAGGCCAGAGTCGGGGCTCAGTTAGGAACTGGGGCTCAGTCTAGGATCAGGTCTCAGGAATTTGGGCTTGGTCTCAGATCAGGGACCAGCCAGCACTGACCTTAGCCAGGGTCGGGTCTCAGGGTAGAGGCAGCCTGGATTTAGATGCCCTGTGTGGGTTTGAGGCTGGGCCTGGATGTAGGCGCTGAGCATGGGAGTGCATGGCGTGTGTGTGTTGTGTGTACAAGAGGGTGTCATGTCAGTTCAGAGTTGGGATTCTGCCTGGGCTGGGGGCTCAGTCTCATGGTGAGTCTCAGCTGGGGTTGGGGCTCAGAAGTCAGCCTGGATTTAGGAGCTCAGCCACAGCCAGAATAGGACCGTTGAGTCAGAGAGATTGGACAAGAGACAAAGATGGGCAAAGAGGCAGGAGCCCTCAACACAGAATAGATGGTAGACTGAGCCAGACCCCCGGAGCGGCCTCAGGAGCCCTGCTGGAGACAACGAGTGTCTGCTGGGTCACTCACAGCCTGGGCGTAGGCACTGTAGGGGCTGAAGGGCAGGGTGAGGGACGGCGTCAGGATGCCCAGCTGGCCCACCATCTGCTGCATGCGCCTCAGCGTTCGCTCCTTGTCCGTGTCAGCAAACTTGACCACCAGGCTGGAGGAGGCACCCTGCAGGGGCAGCGGCAGGCAGGGAGGGAAAGGAGGGTGGTAGCCAAGACACTGGGATTCCCGGCACCACACCAGCTGGGGCCTTCGGCTCAGGGGTGCAGACACCACGGGCATATAGCCACAGGACCCAGATACCACAGCGAGAACGGCTCGGAGATCAACATCCCGGGTCCCTCATCTGATCGTGCAGTCACCTGTGTGGCACAGGTGGGGCGTCCGGGCCCAGGGGTTTCTATCTGGGGAACAGTGTAGGACCCTGTCTGCCACGCTCTCAAAACCAGGTGGAGGATCCAACCGCTGGAGAGGAACAATGGGGGTGCTATAATTGTCACCTGAGAACAGGTGACACTCCAACCACCAGAGAGGCTGACATGCCCCCTCTGATGGCCAGCTCACTCCCTGCTGCCCCCCCCCCCAGGCCCTCCAGCGGGCAGCTCTGGGCAAGGAAAGCGTGGCCTGTGTTGAGCTGACTCCTGCTCCTCCAGGGCCTAGAACTGCTGCCTGAGGACCTAGAGAGCAAAAGAGGGCGGCTCTAGCCCGCCCTGCGCTTCGCACACATTTTCAAGAACAGCCCAAAGTCAGAGATCAGGGAGGAGCTGGTTCCCCAAGGCCCGTCTTCCCTGTGGCAGATTAGGGCACCCAAGTACAGTGATGGTGGCTCCTGGGGCCTCCTTTCTGGAGAGCAGGGCCAGTCCTAAAGCCTGGTGCTTCTCCCCAGCCTCTCACCACTGCAGATCCGCAAGCTCCCCGCTCTAATCTTGCCCCCCACCCAACCCCACTCTGACCCCAAAGGGGCATTTCCAGCCGACCTGGCCCCTCCCACCCTCTGTGGTCCCACTGCTGTGGAATCCTGTGCTTTTCCAACTGCAGGGGATTGCAGTCCAGTCCTCCCCTCCTTGGGGGCTGCCCGTTCCCACTGCTCACCCCCATCTTTGTTGCCATGTCCCCCTGCTGGCCTTAGCAAATCCTGTCCAGCCCCCTCTGAGACACCCTCTTGCACACACACATCATGCATGCTCACACTCATGTACCCTCACACAGTACACCCATGCTCATACACACATGTACACACCCACACCACTGTCAGAAGCTGCACCTCTCTCTTCACCAGTGGTCTCTCTGAAGAAGAGTCAGGGCTCCTGGATGGCCAGATGGTGGGACAGAGCCCGCTCTGCCCCTGTGCCCTCACCCCTGCCCCATGGCCCCCACCGTGGCCCAGGGCGGCTCCTACTCACCGGCATGGTCTGGCTGCCATGCAGGGCGTGGATGGCCGCCTGGGCCTCTGTGTGAGAGGAAAACTTCACGAAGGCACAGCCTGCCCCAAGAAAAGGAGATGCGGTGAGGGGCAGCAGGGTCTCTCGGGGTGGGCAGAGGCTACACGAGAGAGGCTGGGATCCCTGGATGGCCAGTCAGTGTCCCACACAGGCAACCAGAAAGGCAGACGGTCAGACAGGAGAGCCAGCCAGCCACTTGTTCAGACAGACAGCTGGACAGTAAAGGGCCCAACGAGCACACACAACCAGTGGGTCATCCATGCGATCAGAAAGCCAGCCAGAGCTGTCTGTCAAACACACAGCCAGAGGAACTCACAGGAGGGGAGGTGAGTCCGGCCCGTTAGAACAAGTGACGGAGCCAGGCTCTGAGAATGCCCGCCAGCCACGGACACCGTGAGAAGCAGGTGTGATCAGATATGCAGAATCGAGATGACAAGCCATCAGGTAAATGCAGACAGATCCAGCAGGCACAGGAAGGCAGAGACACACCCAGACCCAGACAGATACACCAGGTGACCACAGCTGGAGACGTGGGGATGAAAGATCGCCAGAAGGGGTGACCCAGACAGCCAGCCCCACAGGCAGAATCGGGCGGACAGACAGCCGGAGAACACCAGACATACGCAGCACCAGGCAGAAATGGTCATCCGGACACGCAGGCGGCAAAACAGAGACTAGGACACGCAGGTGCAGTGACATTGAACCCCTAGTCGGAGTCACGTGGGCACACAGGGGAACAAGTCGTCGGAGATGATTGAGCAGTCACCCCCAGCGGAGTGGGCAGATCGGACAGACAGGCCACAGAACACAGACAGCTCCACACTGACGGTCCCGTGGACGGTCGGGTGAGCAGCGCGGCCCCATGCGGACAGGGCGCACAGGTAGGACCAGGTGGGACCCCACAGTCTCAGCCGGCCCGACCCGGCCCTCCCACCACGTGCCAGGCCCCGCCCCTGAAGGCCAAGCCCCTCCCCAGTTAGGCCTGTCCTCTCAACGGCTCAGCCCCGCCCACCAGTGGGCCCCGCCCACACCAACCCGCCTCCCGCGGGCCCGGCCCCGCCCCCTGGATCAAGTCCCGCCTCCATCCAGCCGCCGGCCCCACGTACTGACCCCGCCCCGAGGGCCTGGCCCCGCCCTGCCCTGGCCCCGCCCTGCCCTGCCCCTTGGAGCCAACTTGCCCTCCCGCGCCCCTGCCCTGCCCCCCTGAGCCAGCTCTGCTCCTTCAAGGGCCCAGCCTCGCTCCACCCACCCAGCCTGCCCTCCGCGGGCCAGGCTCCGTCCCCACGCGCCCCACCCCGCCGCCCGCGGTCACCTTTGCTACTGCCGTCAGGCCCGCGGAGCACAGTGCATTCGTCGATGACCCCGAAGGGCTGGAACAGCCGCAGCACGTCCTCCTCCGACTGCTGCTTGTTCAGCATCCCCACAAACAGCTTCCGGTCCCCTGCGGGCGGAGACACCCCCTCAGCCGAGTCCTGGCCTCCGGGATTTCTCCGGCCCTCCAATGGAGGGCAGAGGCCGCAGTGCATGCAGGGCGCCCCTGTTGTGCGTGTGCGGGGAGGCCACAGCCACACGCTTACCCTGCCCTGGGTCTCTCCACACTTCCGCCCCCTGCGTGGTGCCATTCCCGGCCTCTGCTCACAACGTGGCCCCCGCCTGGATTGCCCTCCCTTCAATCCTTCCGGGCCTCTGCGCCATCTCTCCCACCCTCTGGGCAGAGAGGATCCCTGCCTCCCTTGCCCTCAGAGAGCCCAGGGTTAGGGTCTGCCTTGCCTGGCCTGGGTGCCTGTCTGTCTGCTGTCATCTAGACTTCCCAGGCAGGATGCTGAGGAACCCTGCATCCTCCCGGGGCGGACCCAGCAGAGCTCCCCGCCCAACCTGGTGGGGCTCAGGAGGGGCCAAGCAAGCAATGCCTGCTGAATGAGTGAGGGCCTGTGTGTGCACAGGACCACGTGCCCGGGGAGCCTGGAGTGCCCATCTGGTGGGGGTGGGGTGGGTGCCTGGCTAGAGACTGGCTGGGACCTGCCCAAGCGTAAGGCCAGGGGCCAGTCCGGGCCAGCATCTCCCGTGTGAGGCACCGGAACCCTGCCCTCTCTAATTGCTGCTGATCCCCTGTAATCAGGACCGTGGCAGCTTCACCTCCCCGCGACGGTGAGCTGGGTTACCATGGAAACCTGTTGTCTGGCAGCTGTCACTCATGGGGGTGGGAGGGAGGGAGACGCAGAAGCAGAGAGCCTGAGAGTCAGGCAGAGAGACAAGGAGAGCAAGGGAGAGACTGAAAGAGACCTAGGCGGGCAGAGAGAGAGAGAGAGAGAGATAGTAAGAGACAGAGACACATGGAGAGGAGCAGAGAACCAGAGAGAGAGGGGAGAGAGGCAGAGATATGGAAAGAGGGGGAGAAAGAGAATGGGGGTATGGAAAGACAGACACACAGACAAACAGGATAAAGAGATTGGGACGTAGAGCCACCTCTCTAATCCCTGACCCACCCTGTCAGTCAGCTTGGAAAGTGGAAAAACAGGCTCCCAGCCCAGAAGCACTTCACCAGACTCCTACACATACACAGGGGTCCTAACAGCCCTGCTCACACACCACCCCCAAGGCTGGCTGCTCTGCCTCAGCCCCCAATCCACCTGAGACAGGGAGGGTGTATGAAAATATCTCCAAGAACCACTAGCTTTGTGTCCCACTGGGAACAGCTGAGCATCCCCCCTTATGGGCACACCCCCACCACGTGGGTCCAGACCCACGCAAACACCAGGCGCTCGCCTGCATGCCCACACGCCCAGCCTGGAACAGTCCAGCAGACTCACTCCAACATACACTCCCACGCACAGGCCGACCACAGACGGGCACACAAGCAGGCTGCACACCCCCCTCCACCCCCCACGCCCCACCAGCCACACACAGGGATGCACACACACACACATCTGCACGCGGGCCTGCCTGAGTGTGCATGCTCACATACACATACAGGTGCACTTGACCCAACACACGAATGTGCACCCATACACACACAGCCCAGAAAGCAACCTGCAGCTCCTTAGAGGCCCCATCCCCTCTGTGTATGAAGCCCCCATAATTGCACCCTGACAGGAGTGGCAAGTTTCAGGCTGTAGGGGAGAGCAGCTGGACCTGGCCAGACCCCCGACTCTTGGCCCAGTGGCACTGTGGTTAGGCAGAGGGGCACAGCCCCTGCTCTCCTACCCCTGCCCCAACCGGCAGCCTCAGCCCGATACTCTTAGGTGTGTGAGCAGGCTTGCGACCGCTGCATCCTGCCGTGGAGGGGCTTTCCCTCCCGCCCCCATGCTACCCACCCCCAGCCTGGCAGCCACGGAGAGATGACAACTACCTCCGCGGCTTTCGCTGTCCGCAGGCTTCACCTGGATTGGCCGCGCCATCTGTGGAGAGATGGAGGGGGTGGTCAAGGTCGGCAGTAGGGGCATCGTAGGTGGGGGCTTTGCCTGAGCTTTGCTGGGCACCCCTGCCCTTCTCCCCAGCCTCCGCATCCTACTAACCGGTGGCAACTAGCACCCCAGTCAAATCAAATGGCACATGGTCTCACCTACACAGCTCTGCTCATGCTGTCTGGAAGATTCTTCCTTTGCCTTCAAAGCCCAGTAACAATATCCCTTCCTCCAGGAAGCCTCCTTGTGTCCCCAGGTGTGACAGAATGATTGCAAAGATGACCCGACTCCTTGAGCCCCTGTATGTGATGCAACTTCGCAGTTCCTCTCAAGAACTGGAATGCATTTCCCCATCTGCACTTGGCCACGTGACTTGCTCTGGCCAACAGAATGTGGTGGAAGGGAAGTTGTGGGGGTGTTGGGCCTTGGCCTCACTTCCTCACAGCTTCACTCCTGGAGCCCTGAGATTGCCAGAGGGGCAAGCCCAGGTGAGCTACAGGAGGACAGGAGACCCGTGCACAGAGGGGCCCAGCTGACAGAGGGCACATGGGAGGGAGGTGATCCTGTCCAGGTAGCCCCAGTGCAGCCCCAACTGATGGCAGATGCATGAGCGACCCCAGGGTGAGACCAGCAGAAGAACTGCCCAGCTGAGCCCAGCCTAAGCTTACCGACCTACAGAATCATGAACTGATACAACAGCTGGGTTTGCTTGTTACTTGGCGGTAGCTGATTGACACATCAAGGTAACTGCTACTTTTAGTCAGCTCCCTGAGCCCTGGGTGGGAGGGTTGGCATACCCGAGGGGACCAGGCTGCAGTCTGTGGACTCTCTTCTGGACACTTCTGCCTCCCCATCCCCAGTACTGAAAATTATGTACTGGGGATGGGGAATTAAGAAATTCTCCCCTAATTCCCAAGCCCAATTTTCCCCAGGCATTGGGAATGGGCTAATGTGGATATTTGAGAGCAGACTTGAGGGATATGGGATGGAGGTGGAATTTGCTTCTCTACTGGTCCTAGGACAGAGTCCCCCCAACATGGTGTCTCTCATGAGACTCCTACTCATTCTTCAAAATCCAGTTCAAAAGACTCCACACAGGCAATCCCTTCACCCTCTGGGTTTCTCCTCCCTCTGGCTCAGGGCGGGAAGCATCTATGTCTTGCTTTGTCTCCCTCCAGCTTGGGAGCCACAGCATCACCTCACAAAGGGCAGGGTACATGGGAGAATCAGATAAGCTTGCTGAGCTGGACTGTTTGGAAGGGAGTGGCCAACACCCACCAGCACAGAAAGGAACCTGGTCCCTCCACACCAGGCCCAGGGTCGGAACGCGTTCTCCCGCCCCCCCCCCACCCGGGGTCAGCCACTCTCAGAGGAGGTCCCCACCAACACTCAGAAAAGGTGCTTGGTAAGTGTCAGTTTCCTCAACACAGGACAGTTACCCAGCAAGTTTCAGAGAGGCACGATTTTCACCCCATTTTAAAGATGTCAAAATTTGTAAAATGTTGAAGGCCCAGAAAAGTCATCTGCCCAAGTTCACGGTGGGGGAGTCGAGGCACTAAGGCTTCCTGGACTTCAAATCTAGGGGTTCCACCCGATCCCATGAGAAGAGACCCCTCTCCAACTCTGAACCCCCAAGTCTCCTTCCCCTTCTCCCAGACCCTGGCCCAGCTCTTGAGACCCCTCTCCGAGCCCCTCCCCTCCTAAGATCTACCCCTTTGCTGAGTGTGTGTCCTGGACACATATGGGCTCCTTAATTTGAAATCAGCTGTGGAAGCGCCAGAACCAGGGAGGCCTCGGTCTCACCCATCCGGTGTCCCCGATTCCTGCCACCCAGCCATCCGCAGAGGGATCCCGACCGCTTGGGAAAGGACTGAACCATGTCCCCCTTCACCCCCGTGGCTCCCCCCCCACACCCTGGGTCTCCCCACCTGGGTACCACACCCCACTGGCTGGAAGCAGGAGAGATGATTTCGACCTGACGGGACCAGTTTCGGGGCTGGGGGCAGACTGGCGCGGCAAAGGGGGATGGGGGAAGAGGGGGCACCTGAGCTCCAGCCTCCTGCTCCCCCAGCCCTCCCACCCCGCCTCCGCTGGCCCTCACCTCCTCCCCACTCCCAGCACCTTGGGCAGATGAGGATGGGGTTGCCATGGCAACGCTGATTCACCACACGGAAGCTGGCAATTGTTGTTGCCATGGAAACCGCCTCTTAGGGGCGAGCCCAGCTCCTGCCTTGCACAAAAGAGATATTTAAATATAATCTTCTGGAGATGGATGAGCCGGGGGAGGGGGGCCCCGGGGAGGAAACCTACCCCCATCCCAGCACCCTCCACTCCCACCCCATTCTCGCCGCCTGGGTACCTGCTCCCGGTCTCCCCCGCCCGCTGCACGGCCTGGGACCTTCCGCCGCCAACTGGGAGGCCCCTTCCCCCTCCCGGGTCAGCTCGGCGCGGGGGAGGGGTTCCCGATCTGCCCCGGAGAAGCCAGGCGGGCAGCCCCCTCCTCTCTGGCCCCCCACTCGAAAGCCGAGGCTCCAGGCCCGGCCGTCCGCGCCCCGCGGCCCGCCTTACCCACCGGCCTGGAGACGCGCGCCAGGCTGGCATCCACGTGCCGCCGCCCGTCCGGCCGCCCTGGGCACACAGGCGCGCACACGCCGCTCGCACGTCCCGGTCCCGCGCCCAACGCCCCGGCGGGCGCTGTCGATCCGCCCGCCAGAGGCCGGCCCGCCGGCGCTGCCCGCCGCAACCTGGAGGAGGCGTGCCAGGGGGGAGCTGGGTCTCTCCACACCCTAGCCCTCCTGTCGCCCTTGGCCGCGCATCTGGCTCTGCCCACCTCCTTCCGGCTCCCTCTCTCCATCTGTCCCACCGAGGTCTCTGCCGAGTGCCCTCCCTCCCTCCTCCACCTTCTCTGGCTCCCCATAGCTGCATCCCTTCCCTGCCCCCCCTCCCTCTTTTCATGTATGCAACAACATTCCCTGAACGCCCCACGACCAGTAATTCTGCAACTCCAGGAAGTACCCCACTAGTCTATCAGAGGGGGAGACAGAGGCAGGTCAGGGTTGGGGCAAAGGGAGGGATCAAGGGCTGGGAGAGCCTAAAGCAGAGAACAGTGAAGGCCAAAGACTATCTTGGGGCCTCACAGAAGATGGAAAATCTGCGGTGGGTTTTGAAGTATCAGTAGGAGTTTTGGTGGGGGAGAAGGGGAGACCGTTTCTCATGTTGGAGCAATACCTCCATCCACTGATTCATTTGATCTCCAAACATCTTTGTGAGATGGAAACATTTCCATTGAGCAGATGGGCACATGGGAAAGGGACTGGAGATGGTGAGAAAGCCAGAAGCACAGACCCAATCTGCTGTGGGCTTCCTCAGAGTCCTCTGAGGACCTTGCCATCCCTCCAGCCAAGAATCCTGCAGGTGGGCTCTGGGAGTGTCTGTGTCTTTGGGGTGGGTACACATTCAGTGACTGGGATCCAGTCCTTGCTCTGTCCCCAGCTTTTGCTGGGTGACTTCAACCAAGTCATACACCACTGGGAAACAGGGCCTGTTATGTCTGAACTGTGCATATTACAGACAGGGAAACGGAGGCCAGTGCGGAGGGAATGCAGGCGTCTCCAGGTGGAAGGCTGGGGCTCCAAAGGCTCTCATGGATTTGCAAAATTGTGTCTTTAGAAGATGGGGACCCAGGAACACCCCAGCTGGATTGTTTCCAGGTGTTGGGGAGGGTTAAGGAAGCCAAGTGGGCCCCATCTGGGCCGCCCAAACCTCCATTCCAGCCTCCTCCTCTCCCCTCCCAGGTTCTAGCCTCACCTCTGCCAAACCCTCTCCTGCTTGGATGCTTCCCTGGCTCCCTACTGCCCTTGGGGTACCGTGCCAGGTCCTCCACATTAGCATAAAAGCAGAACAGACATGTCCACACTACTCCATTTCAGGGGAGCAAACAGGCTTGGAAAGACACCCGACTGGCCTGGAGTCCTGCAGCGGGACTAGCCTGGGATCCCCCATTCATGCCTCCGGCACACACATGCCAAACTCCTGTTGGAACTCAGGGCCAGGCATGCATCACCGCACAGAATCTCCAAAACACTTCAGTGATCCCATTTCACAGATGAGGAACCAGAGGCCTAGGAAGGTTGAGTCATTTGGACATTCGCAGCCTTGGGGTCCCTCGCCCATTCTCGGGTTTGGCTTGCCTCTGAGCCACGTCATGGGATGTGGGCGTGGGTCCTGTGAGGGGCCACCTCAGAGACCTCTGTGTGCACAGAGGGACTTTCAGGAGGGGGGACCCACAGCCAGACAAAGTCACCCCTTTGTGGGGGTGCTCAGATGAGCATCAGGGTGGCCTCCAGGTCTGGGCGTCCCTTGCCCCGAGATGCTCAAGCGGCACAGCCCCTGGTGGGCTAGGAGATGGAAGCAGCACCCAGTGCTGCCCGCACGGGATGCGCTCCACCTCCGAGGAAGCCTGTCTGCGTCCTGACAGCCAGGGGAGAACGCGCCCTGGAACAGGAGGCCTCCACTCCGCGTGGATTCTGGGGTCCAGCCGTCCGTTCCGGGATCTATTCTGGGATTCCGTTATTCAATTTAGGATCCTATTCCAGAATGCTGAGATTTGATTAAACTACATCCCCAATGGATGCTGCCGGTCACACTCAGGGAAGGAACAGGAAAGAGGGGCATGGCTCTTCAGAAAGCAGCATTATACAAGGGGCACGGCTGTGCCCTAGGGGTGCAGGGGCAGGGAACGCACAGCCAGCAAATGACCCAGCTCACTCCCTTCCTGGTTCAGAAAAAGACAGACGCGTCCACGCCACACTGTCTGCTTTCTCCCTCACGCGCGCGCACACACACGCACACACACACTTTGGGGGGCAGGGGCCGGGAGGGATGGTGGCCGTCTTGGTCTCTAGGATGAGCCAGCTCTGGCCCCTCACTCCCTGGCTATGCGTGCGGGTGAGCCCGGGCACGCGAGCCAGCAGGGGGCCTTTTCCGCCGGGGCAGACCCCGTGCAAGCGGCTGCTGCTCCTCTTTGGGCAGAGACCCCTGGGGAGGGGCTCAGACACCCCGGATGCAGCTCACAGGTGAGGGAGGGCCCTTCTCCCCCGACAGCCCTGGCCCTCCTCAGGCTGTACCCCAGCTCTTCTTCTGAAAGGCTGATTCCATCCCTGTGGGGGTCCTCGGGGCAGGAGGTAGCCTGGGGGCCCAAGGCGCCCACACTCAGGGAGGAGGTCTCCTGGATCTGCGCCCCACGGAAACGCAGCACGTGTCCACCAACACAAAGCATGGGCCAGCATCTCTACGTGTGACGGCACAAACCAAAAGCCCACCCACAGAATGGGCAGATAGGCTGGGTTCGCGCGTGGAATACTACACAGCACCAAAGAAGCGCCGACCGCTGGTGCTTGCAACAGGGACAGGTGGTGGTGAACCTCATTGGCATAGGACTAAGGGGGTGAAATGCAGATGGACAGGACTACATAAAATATGATTCCACTCACATTAGCTTAAAAGGAGAACAGGAGAGAGTCACCCAATATGTTAGGGATGTATTTGTAAGTGCTAAGGCCACGAATAAAAGCAGAAGTTGATTATAGCACAAAAGTCAGGTTAGAGGCTGTCCCACCAGAAAGAAGGGGTCTCCAGCTTGGGGATATGGGCTGAGGGTGGGTTCTGAGGACCAGCTTTGTAGTGGACACAGTAGGACTTGCTGTATATTATTTTTCTAATTTTAAGAACTAATTTTTAGAAGCCAGGCCCCCTTCCTGGGGAATGCTGTCCAGGCCTGGGGGGCAGGGGGTCCCCTCCAGGGCACCCTCCATCCACAGGGTCCAGCTCTGAGCCACCCTCTACTTATTTGTCAAACATACACCATCCCCTCCAGGAGGGCAAGGGCCGACCCACAGGAAACCCAAACCAGAAAAGCCAGAGGTTCGAGGCCTGTGGAGTGGGGTGGACGCAGCTGCAGTTCTCACTCTGCTGGGTCCCTCACTGTGAACAGGATTGGTAGCAGCCCAGCAGCCCTGGCTGACATGGCTTCAGGTGAGGTGACCCCGCAGTGCTCGGTGACAGTGATCAATCTAGACATGTGATGCCCCTACCTCATGTTCTTGGGTCTAGAACATTCGTCATTCTTGGATCTAGAACATTCTAAGCCTGCCTTGTCTAGCACAGTAGCTGACCCCTTCCCAGTCTAGAACATTCTAGATCTGTGCTAACATGGTAGCTGACCCCTGGTCTAGAATATTCAAGGTGTGTGCTGTTAGCAACAGATGGCCCCCAGTCTAGAACGTTCTAGATCTGTGTCGCCTAACACGGTAGCTGACTCCTGATCTAGAACATTCTAGATTTGAGCTATGCCTGTGGTAGCCACTAGCCACATGTGATGGTTTAAGTTGAAATTTAAGTTTATTAAAATTAATATTAAAAGTTCAGTTCCCAAGTCACAGTTGACACATTTCAAAGGCTTCAATAGTGACAGGGAGCTTATGGCCAAGACGGTACCAGACAGCCCAGAACACTCTGATCATTGCAGAAAGTTCTATAGGACAGAGCAATGGTGTAAAATGGGCATCTGCAAATTACAGCTCCATTCTGGCCCCCTGTATGTTTTTGTAAATAAAGTTTTATTGTCACACAGCCAGGCGCATTCATTTACATGTTGTCTGTGGTTTCTTTTATGTGGTCATGACAGAGGCAGTACATCGGCAAGGCCAAGAAAATTTACTCCCTGATGTTCTACAGGAAAATTTTGCTGACCTTGAGCCCAGAACATTTTAGAACTACACTGTCCAATAATACAGTAGCCACCAGCCACATGTGCCCACTGAACACTTAAAATGTGGTGTGTGTGACCAAGGAATGGAATTTTAAATTTTAATCATGATTAATATAAATATAAAACTAAAGCTGAAAGCTGATACCCCACTGCATTCTTGGAAAACCTTTAAGTATGTTTAAAACAACTTGGGTATGTGAATCTATTTTTCCAACTGTCAATTTTATAAAATGCAAATACAGATGGGGCGTTTCTGGTAACAGTCGTCTAAGCCGAGATGGACTGGGAGGATACAATACACCAGATCTTGCAACATTCTGGATGAGAAAAAAGGAATGTGAACCATCACATAATAATTTTTATATTGACTGCCTGTTGATAAGATTTTTAAGATCTTGGGTTAAAATGAAATAGTGTTAAAATTAATTCACCTCTTTCTTTTTACTTTTTAAATGTTGCTCCTAGAAAGATTTAAAAGCTGTATGTGGCTTGCATAAGATGTCTATTAGCACTGATCTAGAACATTTGCCAGCGACTTGCCAGGGTTTTGACTTATTAGAGAATTAGCATTCTCCTGATCAGGGTTTCTCGATCTTGGCTGGATAATTATCATGGGGGGCCATCCTGGGTACTGTGGGGTGTGAAGCAGCATCCTGGTCTCTCACTCCACACCTGTAGCACCTCCCACTCATGACAGTCATGAATGTCCCCAGACATGGTCCAGGGTTCCCTGGAGGCATAATCTTCCCTCCCAGCCTAACATAAACTTCCTCTAGACAACGCAGGCGCTCGTGTGTTCCTGCTCTCTACAACACACCCGGGCACACTCCTGCCTCCAAGTCTTGGTACACTTGGTCGCCACACCACCCCTGTCTCCATCTCCATCTGCCACAGTCCTTCAAGACAAAGCTCAAATGCTTCCTCCTCCAAGAAGTCACCCTGTTTTCCCTCCTCTGAGTCACCACCGCAGGTCACCTGGTTCTCCCTGGTGATGCTGCCTCTGGTCGCCCTTACATCTGGCTGTTCATTTTGGGGTCACCTCCCTGTAGTGGGTTGAATGGTGGCCCCCTAAAAATATGTCCAAGTCCTAACCGAGAAGGCCATGTCACGACGGAGGCAAGGACGGGAGTGATGACTACAAGCCAAGGGACGCCACGTTGGAAGAGCTGCCCTCCCCTCCTCCCTCTCTCCCCCTCCCTCACTCTGCTCCAGCCACACGGGCCTCCTCGTTGTTCCTCCAACATGCCCGGCATGGTCCTGCCTCAGGGCCTTTGCACGGCTGTGCCCTATGCCTGCTAATGCTTCCTCACTCTTCAGGTCTCAGCCCAATGACGCTGACATGCTGGTCCAGGCAGGCACCCTTGTGCAGTATGCCACCTACACAGCCACACAGATCCACCCTGGCATGAGGTACAGGGCACAGCATGCAGCAGGCACTCCATAAATGCTCGTTCTGCCCATCACTTCTGTCCCTCTGAACCTTATACCTCTTTCTGGGCCTAGAGGCATGCGGGCTTCACAGCTGATCTCAGGAAGGACCTCGGCCTTCCCCAGACTGACAGTGGGCCCCCCAGCTCCCCTCCCCAGTACTCACCCCCGGCAAGGTCTTCTGCTCGTGCAGGGCGGTCTGAGCTTTGATGGCGGAGTCCCTGGCACAGTAGGTGAGAAAGGCACAGCCTAGAGGGGGAGAGAAATGGAGGTGTTAAAGGGAATGGATGTTGCCCACCCACGTTCAGAGCAGCGTTATTCCCCAAAGTAGAAGCAACCCAAGTGTTCATCAACATAGGTAGGGGATGGGGGCGGGGCTAGAGGGGGTGCGGTGCGGCGGCAACGGGCAGGACCAATCAGGAGAGGCAAGGGGTGGGGCCAGTTCTGAAGTGGTCCAGAGCGAGGTGTGATTGGACCACGTCCGAGTGGGCGGGGGCGGGGAGGGCAGGGGGCGGTGCCAGGCGTGAGAACCTTAGGGACGAGACACATTCAGAGACGAGAGACAGAAAGAAGCAAGAAGGGAGAAGCCCCGAGGGAGACCGATGAGATCAAAGGTATGGTGAAAGGTGTCTGCCCGAGGTGGGGTGGGGGATGCAGGCAGGTGTCAAGGCGCCTGGGATGGACCCAGGGGTGTGGGGCCCACCCAGGACTTCACCTCTAACCTCTGCGACGCTCAGTTTCACCGTGTGTGGACTGAGACCATCCGTGGCTGCTCTGATGCTGTCGGACCCCCCAGATCCCTCCCCACGGTCTTTCTGCCTCCCCCCACCCAAGGGGGATTCCCCAGTGCAGGAAGCTCCATGGTGCCCACTTGCGCCTCAGACGGAAGCTGCGCCCACCAGCTGGGCTGGGTGGTGGGAAGGGGTCCCTGCCCAAGGCCTGAGAGGTCCCGTAGAGCCCTGGGGAGGGGGCACCAGGCAGAGCTGAAGATGGTTTCTAGAATTTAAAAAAGTATTTGTGGTGGGAATGTAAAATGGTGCAGCCACGGTGGAAAACAGTTTGGCGATTCCCTCCAAAAAGTTAAACATAGAATTAACATATGAGTCAGTAACTCCACTTCTGGGTCAGTACCCCCCAAAACTGAAAGCAGGGACTCGAATAGATATTTACCCACGCATGCTCATAGCAGCATTACCGACACACACCAAAAGGTGGAGGCTACCCAGGTGTGCATGTACAAATGAATGGATACATAGAAGGGGGCTCATCCACACCTGGAATACTACTCAGCCTTAAAAAGGAAGAACTTGTGACCCCTGCTAGAGTGTGGGTGGACCTTGAGGGCACTGTGCTCAGTGACATAAGCCAGACACAAAAGGGCAGATCCTGTCTGATCCCCCTCCTAGGAGGTCCCCAGAGGAGCCCCATTGACAGAGACAGAAAGTGGGTGGTGAGGCCGAGGACTGGAGGAGGGGGTGGGGGGTTAGTGCTTTGTGGGACAGAGCTTCCGTTTAGGAAGATGAAAAGTTCTAGAAATGGATAGTGGGGATGGCTGCATGACAATGTAAATGCATTTACTGCCACTGAACTGTACATGTAAAAATGGTTAAAATGGTAAATTTCACACTAAGTATATTTTACCACAATAAAAAAAATTGCAATTGGAATCTATTATAAACATAACCACCCCCAAAAAAGGGCAAAATGTGAAAGTGAACAATGAGACAAATAATTACAGTCATGTAACCACTTCGCAGGTCAAGAAATAGAACATGGTAGCCAATGGAAGCCCCCACCCCATGATTGTCGCCCCCACCCCAGAGAGGCAACCGCTGCTCTGGATCTTGTGATAACCACCACATTGCTTTCACTTTGGAGTTGAGTGCTTCCTGCCTTCGAACTAATATCAGTGGAATCACAGTGTATCAGTACACTTTTCTATCTGGTGTCTTCCACTCAACAGGTGGTTGTGTGAATCAAGGGCTAATTCCTTTTTGTATATGTATAGTATTTTATCCTATAAATATACTATAAATCTGTTGTCCATTCTCCCATGTATGGGCATTTGGGTTGTCCACTGTTTGGGGCTATCATGAATAAAACTTCTGTGGAACATTCTTGTATATGTATTTTGATGCCCAGAGGCATATCCAGGAATAGAACTGCTGGTTATAAGGTAGGCATATGTTCAGTTTTAATCATTTCTTTCACAGTTTCCAGAGTGGGTTGTACCAAAGTATACTCCCACCAATGGAGTCTGAGAATCCTATTAATGCCTCATTTTCACCAGCCCTCAGTTTTGTTAACCTTTTAAATGTCGGTCATGACTGTGGGCATGCCACTGTATGTCATTTAAATGTTAACATACATTCCTACAGTTATTAGTGAATGTGGGCACCTTGTTGCCTTGTAGGAGTTCCTTGTATATGCATATGCTTTTCCTTTTATGATTATATCTGATGCACACATTTTGCCCCAGTCGATGCCTGGACTTTCCACTCTTTATATGTGTGTGTGTGTGGTGTTTCTACTTTCTTAAAATTTAATTCCCCCAAGTCCTCAGGGAAAGAGGTGCTGAAACAACTAGCCCTAAGGCCTGACAGAAATTAGGTATAGCTGGCAAAAAATTGAACAGCAGGAGATGTAAAATGGAGGCAAAAACCCTTCCTCTTTGGGTCCTTTCTTGCCTTTGGAGCCCCATCTGCAGAACATGGAGTGTGCTGGCCCTGAGGGGTACAGTGGGACCCTGGAGCAACCTTCAAGTCCATCACTGTGGCTCTGGTGAGTTTATTTCAAGAGGGACGAAAGGCGAATTGCCCGCTGCTGTCCCTGGTGCTGAAACATTTCCCTGCTCTCTTGGCCTCGAGGTTTCTCTTTCCTAGTTGGTGAAAATATGTGGTGTTTTACCCCTTTCTGGCTATAAATAGAGCATTGATTTTTGGTTCCTGTTAGAGTTGAGTTGTTTCCCCCTCCCCCAAATTCAAACCCCCAGGAACTTTTTTGGAAATAGAGTCGTCGCCAATGCGATTAGCTAAGGTCAGACTGAATCAGAGTGAGGCCCAGTGCAATAGGACTGGCATCCTTACAGAAGGGGGACGCGTGGACACAGAGACATGCGCTCAGGGAGGGTGTCACATGAATGTGAGGGCAGAAAGCTGGGCGCTCTACCGACATGCCACGTAGCAGCAAGGATTCCCAGCCCTGTCACGAGCTGGCAGAAAGGCCTAGATAAGATTCTCCCTCATGGGCTCTGAAGGAAGAACCCATCAACACCTTGAGCTCAGACTTCTGGCTTCCAGGACTGTGAGAGGATATTTACAGTTTCTGGGTTTTTAAGCCTCCCCGTTTGCGATATGCTGTTTCCACAGCGCTAGCAGACTAACAGAGTTCCCAACCAGCGTGGGCTTTTAGTGATGCTAATAAGGTTCATTGGTTGTTAATACTATATGCTTATACACAGTAAACTCCCTTGATCCTCATAAATTTGCTGCTAGTATTGTGCTCATTTTACAGGTGAGGGGCTGGGGCACAGAGAAGGTAAGTGACTTGTCCATGGTCACACAGATGGTGAGCCCAGCCCAGCCAGCCCCACCCACACACCATCCTTGTCATTAACAAGGGGGCCGGGCTGGTGTTCAGCATCCTCTCCCCATGCTGGGCTGAGCCTGGGGTTCTACCCAGAATACTTAGCACCTGACAACGCTGTGGCTCCCTTCCCACCCACCCCCCAGTTTCAAAGCCTAGACCAAAGCTGATCTTGGGGGTCAATGCTCACAGCTCTCTCTAGACCCATGGGCAGAGCAGGGACCAATGGGGGGCTCCATGGGGAGCAAGAGATTTCCTCAATGATTCCTCAATGAATAGAAGTTTCCTAATGACCAGATTCGTCTCATCACAACTCTCTTAAGAGGGAGGGAGCTCCCCATCTCTGGAGGTAAGCAAGCAGCAGCTCCCTACAGAGGGAACTTCTTGGTCAAGGAATCCTGAGAGTCCCTCCTCATGCCAAAACCCTCTGCTCTCTGCTCTGAGACCTGAGCTTTGGGGGTTTCATGACTTGAACTGGCAATAATAGTAACAGCAAATGCCCACTGCACACCAGGCATCTGACAGAGGCACCTCGCCCGTATCAACCCCAGCAGGCCACGCAGGCTGTAAATCTCTGTTGTTTTAAGGCAGGTTGGTAGTCATTTGTTATAGCCACCCCGGGACATTAATACAGATGGGGGCCCGGGAAGGGGAGCAGTTTGGAAAAAAGGTGCAGAATCTGGTTTGTGCCCTCAGATCCCTCCGAAGGATTGGGGGACGCCAGGGTTAGGGCTCCCCTGCCCCCGAACTGGCTAAAACTCCCCCAGATGGCCCAGCCAGGAAGTACCAGCTCTGCACAAAGCCAAGCCCTGCGGCCAATAGTTCCCAATGCTTCTCTGGAATCCTTATTCTCCTCTTATCAGCTATTTTTATCCCCATGTTACAGATGAGTGAACCCAGGCTCAGAGAGGCTGAGCAGCTTTCCTGAGGTCACACAGAAAGCCAGAAATAACTCCTGCAGCTGAACCCAGGCTAGGAGTGGGTAAAGGGTTCTGAGTTTCCAAAAATCCCAGAACACCGGGGACTACTTAAGTCTCCAAAGTGTGTTGCACTGATCTAATCACTTAAAGCAATTGTTTTAAAATGGAGAAGAAAAATATTGTTTTTTCCTTTCCTACTACTCAGTAGCTATGTCGTGCATAAACCTCAGATTTCTGTCACTCCTCCAGGAGCTTGGTAGGTCTGGGCACTGGCCCCAGTGGATGCTGGCCATGTTGCCAGCTGCAGCTGACCGCGGCCGTACCACACACCAACCTCTCACTGGCTGCCTTTGAACTCACCTGCTCAGTGCTCACATGCCCTCACCCTCGTCTTTGTCTGGGCTTGTTTCTCCTCGACCGCCAGGTCCCACTGAGCCACCCCACCCCCACCCCCAAATGATGCCGGATCAGGGACCCTACGGGCTTCTGCTGTGCCTGTGTGTCCCCATCAGAGCTCACTCCATGCCACAACTGCCCAGTCACAGTGCCTGAGCTCCCTGAGGCTGGGGACATGGTGTGCAGCAGTCAGCAAGGTGTCCCCAGCACCCATCACACCCGTGTGCTCAGTAAGAATCTGGCCGCCACTCATGGACTCCATCCTGGCCCGCCTTCCATCAGCACCCACCTGGACTCCAAGTCCCCTCACCCAGGTCCTGCTCATCTCCCTTGGGCCCTCCTCCCCAC